TTAAAGAGTAAATGGCAGACTTTGTATATATGGATGATTGTTCATTACTAGTTACTCATATACATCCAAAAAAAGCAAAAAGCTAGTTTTACAGCATAGAATATTTAAAATCATATTTTCTTCAGGGGAAGGAAGATGCTTGTTAGGCATAGACAATAATTTTGTATTTGACATGTATATATCATATTACAACATGAAAACTGCCTAGCTAACAGGCCGATTCCAAACTTGTCTGTCTTGACAGAACTAGTCATTGTTCAGGGGTGTCTCTGAGGGAAATGAGACAAAAGACACAGTGAAAGATGAGGACAGAATGACAAAGGAACTATATACAAGAAATCAAAGAGAAGAGAGACAGTATAGAAAAGAAAGATGGAAAACCAACTGGTAAAATGACTGTTGAATGGATAATGTCACAGGACATACATCTAAATAATATTTAAAAATTATTTTTAAATTAGGAATACATAAAAAAAGATATATACATATATCCTTTAAGTTAATGGCAATAAAAGGAAATAAGAGTATTTAGAAGTCACTATAAATTCTAGTAAGGCAATGAGAGAAGACAGAAGGGAAAAATGATTAAGATAAATTTCAACCTTGAACCACACAGTACATAATGCTACCTCTTCTGTGAGTAGCTTATAGACACCTCAAAGGGGAATACTGAGTACAATGCTGAGGAATACAAAGAATACACTCTGGTTGGGTAGCTATTATAGCTGTTAGGTCAAAAAAGGACACTTTCTATGAGTCACATGGGCTTAGATTTGATCTAATATTAAGAATCACATTCAACATATTCATATAAGAAAAACAGAAAAACTTTTCTTTGGAGTAACCCTTAAAATGTGTTATGTAAATTCTAAAGGCTATCACATACTTGATAGTTATCTTCATTAAGTAGTAAAACATTATTTTATCTGCTATATGTTTAAAATAAAAAAAATAAATTATCAAACAATATAATCATTTTCTAAAATAAAAAAATTTATTCAGATTGCAATTTTAGGAGTGGGAAGTAGTTTTAGGAAAAAGAAATACTGATACTGAATAAACTGACAGAACAGGAGACATTCTCCAACTATAAATACTTAATACTTGAAGAAAAGAAAAATGTCTATGTACTTACTTTATTTACAGCAAAGGCAGTAATGATATCTGATTCCTTATGAATAATTCTTGCTTTACCTCCTGGATATCCCAAATCTGCTTCTATCTAAATGGAGGAAAAGAAAATATAAAAATATAGTGATTTTAGTAATAGAAAATATAATATATGCCAATCTGTCATTTAATACTTCCATAAATTATTTTAAGAAACTCTTTAAATATTGTAAATCCAAAGGTACTATTTTACATGCTCATTATCCCTAAAATAAAACTTATTTGACAAGGGGAACTTAAATTTTTTCAAATTTGCTTTTTCACATATAAAAAGATAGCTGATATAACAAGCAACTTCATTAATTGCTTATGTTCCCAAGCTGTAATGAATTAAAGGATCAAGACATTTTAATTTATTAAAGTAAAAT